GAAGGTTGGGCAATCCTACTTCCATAGTGATACTGCCTCGGAAACCCAAGGAGGGCTCGCTATGAGTCGGGGCCGACTCGACGGCACATAACAACAACAACAACATAGAATCACTGGAAGCTCTGGTAGCATAGTGCTTAAGGCACTTGACTGCTAACCAGAAGGCTGGCAGTTCAAACCCACCAGTCACTCCTCAGAAGGAAGAGGGGGCAATCTACTTCCATAGTGATACTGCCTTGGAAACCCAAGGAGGGGTCGCTATGAGTCGGGTCTGACTCGATGGCACATAACAACAGCAACATAGAATTGCAATGTGTCAGAATCAACCCAGTAGCAGTGGGTTTTGTTTTGAGTGTCAGTTCATAGTTTATTCAATATTCTCCACCACCACCATAATTCAGATGCATCAATTCTTCTTCAGTCTTCCTTATTTATATCCTTAGGCTTTCACATAGATGCAAGGCAATTGGAAATACCACGGCTTGGGTCTGAACCACTTTAGCCCTCAAGGTGACATCTTTGCTTTTTAATATTTTAAAGAGGTCTTTTGCAGGAAATTTCCCCGATGAAAAAAAAACAGCTACACATTAAAAACTTACTATTTTAAAGGACTCTTTTAAAAAGAGTGATGTTTTTAAAACAATACTGTCCAAATTATAGTGCAGTTATAAAAAGAAAAATCACTATATTGAACCATTCATAATTTAATTTATTTAACCTAACATTCTACATCAATGAGTATGTGTTGGAAATCAAGAAAATAGTTATGGAGATACATGACTTATTTATAATGATTTGTTATTTTAAAGCTAATAGAAATTTATTCTTTTTTCTATCAAATGGTCATGCAAGCTAATGAAAACATCTTTGCTTTCACAGAGCCATTAGATCAACAACTATTTAACACATGTTGATTAACAGTAACATTTGTCCCCTACCTACCTTATTCTTTTCTCAGAAAATTTCCTATTTTACATTTAATTTTCACTTAAACTTTTGAGTAAACTTGGTAAATCTTTTTTAAAATAGTAATTATTGACTATTTCATTGAATACTTAACCAAAGAGAACTGGTATTTTGACAATATTCACTTATCCAATCCAAAACCATGGTATGCTTTCCATTTTTCAAGTCTCTCTTGTCTCATGTGAGTCATGGAGACTGCTTGTTATTTGTAGATATTTTGACCATGCATGCTGCTGCTATAGGTTCTAGCTATATTCTAATTTTTTTTTTTAATATAGCAAAACTATTGGTTTTCATATTTTCGTAACCAGGTCCCTTATTAAATGCACTCACTCATTGTTTCTTATACTATTTTTAGTTCATTCCTTTGTGTTTTCCAGGTATATTACAGGATATATGTCTGTGTGTATCCTTTTGAATACTCATTAGCATTATATACTATATCTCTTGTGTAAGTTCATTACCTAACATATCTACAACAATATAAAATGACAGTAGTAATGGTGGATGTCCCTGACATGTTCATTATTTTAATGAGAATGCTCTGCAAGTTTTACCACTTACTAAGTTACTGGTTTTGGAAATACATTTATTACACACAAGCATTCACACAAATCCCCATTGGTGTCAAGTAGATTCTGAGTCATAGTGACCCTATAGAGCACAGTAGAACTTCCCCATAAGGTTTCCAAGGTTTTAATCTTTACAGATCATCACTTGTCTGTCATTTCGTCCAACTAGAATGGTTCATATGTTTCTATGATATTGGACTCATTGCCACCAGTATTGCCAATACCAGAAGGGTCCTCAGTGGTACACAGGTTTCAGCAGAGTTTCCAGATTGAGAAATACTAGGAAGAAGGACTTGGCAATATACTTCTGAAAAAACTGGCCAGTGAAAAGGTTATGGATTGCAGGAGAATATTGTTAGACATAGGGCCAGAAGATGAACCCCTCAGGTTAGAACATGACTGGGGAAGAGAGCTGCTTCCTCAAAGTAGAGTTGATCTTAATGACGTAAATGGAGTAAATCTCTTGATTTACCCCATTTGCTGATATGGCATGAGTCAAAACAAAAAGAAACAACTGGAAACCATTAACAGTTGAAACATGGAATATACAAAGTATGAATCTAGGAGAACTGGAAATTATCAAATGTCCCTAGGTATTAGAGAGCTGAAATGGACTAGTATTAGACATTTTTAATCAGACAATCAAATGGTCTACTACACCAAGAATGACAACTGAAGAATAGCACATTAATTGTCAAAAAGAACATTTCAAGATCTGTCCTAAAGTATAATACTGTCAGTGATAGAATAACCATACATATAAAAGGAAGATGAATTA